CCATCCATCCAATCATCTGTTTATCCATCCATCCATCCATCCATCCATCCATCTATCCATCCATCCTTTTATGCATTCATCCTTTTATCCATCCATCCATCCATCCATCCATCCATCCACCCAACCATCCATCCATCCATCATCCATCCATCCATCCATCATCCATCCATCCATCCATCCATCCATCCACCCATCCATCCAATCATCTGTTTATCTTTTCATCCATCCATCCATCCATCCATCCATCCATCCATCCATCCATCCATCCATCCATCCATCCATCCATCCATCCATCAAATGTTCCAGAGTCAGGCTACAGGGGCAGCAGCTTCAGCGGGGAGGTTCAGACCTTTCTTTCCTCTTCCAGCTCTCCTAAGAGAAATTCAAGACATTTCCAGGCCAGACTAGAGGAATAGTCGGGGTCTTCTGCGGAGTCTCCTCTAAGATGAACATGCCTGAAGCATCTTTCTAGAGAAGCAACCAGGGAGAATCCTTACCAGATTCTTGAACCACCTTAACTGACTGCTTTCAACGTGGAGGAGCAGCGGCTCTACTCTGTGTCTCCTTGTTAACTGAACTTGTCAGCCTGTCTCTATGGAGAGCCCATACCCTGAAGAGAAAACTCATTTTGATTGCCCTGTTTTTGTGATTTTGTTCTTTCAGTCACCACCCAAGGTTTATGGCCATAGGTGAGGGTATGATAGTTGACTGGCAGGTTAACACAGAGATTCACCTTGCAGCTCAGCTCCCTCTTCATCACAACAGAGTCCACAATACTGCAGAAGCCTCAGCGATATGTCAATCAGTGTCATGCTGTAACTATGATGCAAATCAAAAACACGCAGAACACTGAATAAAAACAGCATTTTTGTTACCTTCACAGTGTAGAGAGTGTAGGAATGTGTGTTGTTGCTGCGCTGCTCCTTCACATTAACTGTTCCAGAAATGTGCAGGTTCTGAATGTTCACACAAGCAGCTGGGCCGATAGAAGAGTCAATGTTGTAGGAGTTCAGGCGAAGCTTTCTTCTTGAGGAGGCTGGAGATTTGTCCTGGGCTATGCCTGCGGGCCACAGCGACTCCTCAGGTACAACCTTTGGGCCAAAGTTTCTAAAAGGGCCGAAACAACCAGAGACCTCCTCGTCGTTCACCCCGAGCAGGCTGCAGAGGTTGGTGGGAGGACCGCAGTCACAGAAGACGCCTCTCAGGTCATCTTTTGACTGGATAAGTGAGTCAGTGGAAACTACTTTGGATCCTGAGGGTTGAGGGTTGTGGGCACAGCAGTTCACTTTGTGTGGGAGGCTGAAGCCTGTGTGGCAGCTGGGTGTTTTCCCTTCAGAGGTCAGGCTGTCCCTGCTACCCTGGGACGAGTCGGTCCCCGAAACTGCACTCTGACTCTGAGAGTCCTCAGCATCAGAGGGGCTTCTGCTGATAAAATCAGCCTGATCACAAACAGACCTGGACTGACAGGTTGTCCAAGACTCTTGCTGGATCTGACCACAGTATATTGTACCAGCAACGTTGTCTGGTTCCCTGGATTTGGTGAAAATGTCAACAATGGTTTGGTTGAGCCAGTCAGGGTCAGAGATCCTGTTAATGAGTGGCAGCAGGAGGTTGCAGGTGATGAGCTCGGTCACCACGTACCCTCCAGTCCTGGTTTCCATCTGAGGGTACGGGACCAGGACGTGCAGAACGAGGTTCACCAGAGCTCTGGAGTAGTTCAGTTCAGTAGTTGCGCTGCTCAGAGCCGGATGAGGGGAGTCTACTTCACTGTAGACCTGCCACAGGTTGAGGTTCTCCTTCTGGGTTGACTGGATCTGCCTCACTGTCATGTAGCTCTGCAGGTGGCAGCCATACAGCTCCAGCAGCTGCTGCACCAGGGCCTTCCTGTCCACTCTTTGAGCTCGCTCCTTCAGCTCCATCACCGACTCCAGCATCGAACCACATACCACACGCTCAAACTCTCCCTCCACCCCGGGCAGCAGAGTGCGATACCACGAGGACACGAAGTCCCGCACCGCTTTGTGGACCGCACTGTGGATCTCGTGGTTCAGCCTCCACTCGTGCTCCGGCGCGTCCTGAGGTGGGTTGACCTTGCCGAGGGGCAGGAAGTGCTCCAAGTGCAGAAAGCTGTTAGCGTCCAGCGCTGCCCGGGACCCAAGCCAACCGCCGAGAACCACCAGAAGGCTGGTGAAGACGCAGAGCAGCCAGACATTCACCAGGAGATGGAAGAGAACGAGCCACGTCAGCAAGGCTCCGAGGCCCAGCAGCCTCTTCTGCCCCATGAACTCGGATAAAGTCCAGTTCACAGAACTCCCAGAAGAATGCATCGCAGAAAGTCTGTAATCAGCTGAAAAGACAACAAAAAACTTGTATTAAAGAGTGTTTGTCATCATATGAGTCACAAAGATTAATAACAGTTTACATCAAAAACAGCTTTGAGTCAATCATTGCTGCTTCATTCTTCCTCAGTGTTATGGCAATATTTATTTAACAAAGACAGAAATACGTGGTCCAATAATGAAGGTAATCCGTGAGATGATCAGCTGAGTTTTATTGCAACAACAGGAAACACAGACAACAACCTGGTCTGTCTCTGTGCCTCTGCTTCTCTCTGTCACTGTCTCTCCACACTGCTGTTATACACTGTGTCTCGAGAGGCCTCATATATCCATTATATATTAACAAACACCATTCTGTCATCTTAGCAAGATTTGATACAAGGTCAATGGAAAACACAAAGACAAACACAAGTGATATCTAGGAATGATTATTGTTGTTAGCAGACCTTGTTCTGACTTTAAACATTCTATCTGCAGATTAACAGCATGTCATGAAAAACCTAGGTCATTTAAAGGATGTCATGAATAACTAGCTTAAATATAAAAGTATTAGTTCCACCACACTCAGCTTGTTTCTGCTACTTTTGACCAGTATGACCAGTATATATATAGGAAGATACCTAGGAATATAAAGGGACAGAATGTTTAACATGCATATAACTCAATAATTTATGTATGTATTTCAAGTACAAGTGAGGGTCCTTAACTAACCTAAATATACAGCTAACCTTCACTATAATTTGTTAAATACAAAGATAAGGTACATTTCTGTGTAAAAAACTGCACAATGATTCAGATCCTGCAGCAAAATTAATAAAAAAATCAGTCAATGCAAACACATGAAATCTAATGCAGCTTCCTGTGGGGAAAAAGGCACAACTCAAACTGTGCCAACAAATGCAGCAAAAAAGAGATGCTGATACAGCTTATATGTCAATATATTGTTAAATCCATCTAATTACCATTAAAATCTACATTACCTGGTGGGTTCTTGATGTGGTGTATCACATATCTAACTGCGTAGTTTCCACTCCTCCTGTAGTGGGACAAGCTGTAATCCAGCAGAGATTATCTGCTCAGAGACAGCAGGAGTCCATATGGACCGTTAGCTGAGCTGTCAGGTTAAAGAGGCTGCACACAGGATAAAATCTTTGTTATGCTCAGAAATTCACTCATCAGTGTTTGTATCCTTTAACTTTGGGCTTTTAATGATTTAATTTGAATCTTTCTTTTCACGGCTGCAGCCATGTGTGCGTAGTGTGAAGTAAATTTAAAGATCTTGGTGATTATTTCACTGACGATCTGACTCATGATAAGGATATTTTTAGGCATTGTCACCTGCTGTAAGCACAGTTTGTTGCATTTACCAATGAGGTAAAGAAGTCTCTGTTTCAGATTTACTGTGCACAACTACTATTAGAGAGCTAGCATGTATAAACTCAATGTGGACAATGACTGCCACAGATTTTTACTGAAGAAGATGAGATGACGGTGTCACAGCTGGCTTTAAACCATTTATGCTCTTTTAAGAAATTTGATGTTCAAAATTTTTAAGTCGTGTCAATGATTGTTGTAACTCAATAATAATGTGTCCAACTGACATTGTTACACGTCTCAGTTGTGGAGGCACAGTTTTTTGTTCATGTTTTGTGGACCTCTTCTGTAAAAAAGTTTGGTGATGATACGACATGCAACTTCAACAATTTGTAAAATATTTGAATTAGAATTGGTTTTCATCATTTCACACCAGATCAAAAATACACATGTGGTTAAAATGTCTTCATAATTGGTTGGATGGTCATTAGCACACTGACCACACACTGTTTTTATCCTTCACCAAGCATCTGCTGTAACTCTGACTGCATGTTTGACGACTCTTCTTGGCAGAATTCATTTAAACTGTTACCTGAAAGGGACCCAGATTTTAAGCAGAAGTCCACAAATTTTCTGGGGTTAAGCTTTGGCCATTCCGCTTAACCTGATTTAACCAATCAGAAACCAGCTCTGAGCTTCACCCTGCTCAACACAAAATGTCCAAGTTTCTGCTAATTTGTTGCCTCCGGCTGATGCTTCAGCCTTCACCATGATGTTACCACCACTGTGTTTTACACTGGGTATAGTGTAAAACATGATTTTACCACTGCCGTGTTTTACACTGGGTACAGTATAAAACATGATGTTACCACCACTGTGCTTGAGCTTAAGCCCTATTATAAATTCAAACAGATAAATGTGGGATTTTTATTTAAATAAAACACAGATAATTTTACAACAGGAAAAATAAAATTTTGAAATGTCTTTATTTATGAATTTATTTAACAAATTTAACCCTATTTTTTTAGTCAAACACTTATTATAATCCTGCAAACTTTTCATTTGCTTTTTATTTTTATTTTACAGTTTTGTTTTTATGAATGCAAATAAAATGAATAAACTAAACTATTATAGCCCAATTGATTTGTTACATCTGCGCTTACTATTGGTGTTGTGAGGCGTTAACTGCAGTGTAAACCTTATGTAACTACATAACAGCTGCTGGATCATGCTGCAACATTTGATCCAGCTAATACAGAGGAAACACGCATGCAGGTCAGAGCTGATATATTTCTGTACTTATTCTGGGTAGCCTATTTTATTCTTTTGTTTTATTTTTATATATATATATATATATATATTTTTTTTTTTGCAGCTCAGATGTATTTTTTACATTTGTTTGTATTAGTAAAAAAAAAGGGTTTTGTTATTCTAGCCACGACAGACACTCTCTCAGCCACTTGCAGTCATCAGATCAGGTCAGAGGGGGAGGAGCTTGTGTCACCTCGCACGCGTTAAAACTTTAAAAGCATTTAATGGTGGGATAGGTCGTGGAGGACAGGTGTCAATCGTCCGTCATGTCCCCCGGGAAGCTGAACGGCAGCGCAGGTGAGCTTGCTCCTTCTCCTCGTTTTTTTTATTTTTTATTTTTGTTTTGTTTTGTTTATTTATTTATCTGAACAGAGCTGCTGACGTCACTGGTACAGGTTTACAGAGGTTTCAGTCTGCAGTGCAGGTTTTGTGTTATGATCGGATGGTGTTTGTTTGATGATCGCTGTGCTGCGGGACAGGATGTTCTTTCTGCTTCATTGAACTCCTGCTGAGTCACGCTTCAATTAGACTGACTGTCATTTTTTTTATTTTAAACAAAATCAACCCTCATTACTGCTTTTTATGTGTTGTTAATAAAAAGCTACTTTTCATCACTTTTTAAAGCTTCATTTTACTACAAAATAAAAGCTTCCAGACTACATGTCTCTGTGGAAAATCGCAGGACAAAAACTTAATTTAATGCAAATAATATCAGGCAACATCAGACTGCATTTAGTTTGCAAATATTTCAGGCACAAATAAAAATAATGAAATAAAAAAATGCAGGAAAGACAGCTAGATTCAGTGCAGATAAACAATACCAAACAGGGAAAAAGTAAATGCTTTTGAATCCTGATTTAAAATAGTTTAAATCAGCTTCACAATAATGTTCAGTCATTGTGCATCTCTAGTCCATTTCACCTTTAACTTCACCAAATATTTCATATTTTCAGGATTACAATAATAGATTTAAGCAATGTTTTCAATGTGGCAAAAGTGAAAAGAAAAGGGAAAAAAGACAGTCAGATCCTCAGAGGAAACTTGTTTCGTCATGACCAACTATGTAAAAGGACAAGACAAGACAAAAAACAGGAATGTGAGGATTAAATATGGAGAAATAGAAAATAAACTATTTGAGAGATAAATTCATGTTTTAAATATAAAAACCAACCCTGCAGTTGTTGTGTCACAGACAGAATGGCATGACTTTTTTATATTAGAGAATAAAAGTTGTGTAGGGGTCACCTCGGGTGAAGAAACAAGATTTACTGCCTCGAAGCAGGCCTGACGAGAGGACAGGAACTCTGTCACAAACTGAACTCTATTTAGGCCATGRCAGGTCATTCTAACCGTGGAAGAGAACCACTCAGTTCTCTTAATCAGATAATGAACAGAACAATCTCTTCTTTTCATGATTCACTTGTCATTTAACTAAGAATGTATATGCATTTGTTAAATCATGATAATTGCTGTCACAGGAAAACAACTTCTTTTCTCTTATCGTGCCTTAAAGATTTATAATGGTACAAAAAAATCACAGAGAAAATGATTACAATGTTTTCATTGTGTTTTTATGCAAATCACTGTTTTTATTTTACTGTGAACACAGTAATATAATTGTGAATTTTTCCTGAGAAAATCTTTCATTTATCTGGACTAACAGAATGGTTCAGAGTTGATTATAAACAGAAATGTTAATTAATCATCATAAATGTTTTGCAGTGATTTCTTTTAGAGTCTATCAGGAAGCTAAAAAGAGGTTATCATGATGTTTGTTGCTTAACCATACAGTTAACCTTGACTGGCGCCTGGCAATCTTTATCTTTCTTTCTCTGACTCATCTCTAAGCCTGAGGGCGGAACCAAAGTTCGTCCCTTCTTAGTACTAACCCGGACGGCTTTGAGTACACTCGGACTTCCCTTTTTTATTTTTTATTGTAATATAAATTCAAGTGTACAAAAGGTTAGGGATATAACAACAATAAACAGGTGAAATAACATTTTCAAGGCACAAGATAGAACAGAGCAAACAATAGAAATAAACAAAAGAAAAAAAATTCATACACATTCACACCCACATTCACACAGTTGTACAACTACAATCAGAAGTCTTCAAATATTTTCAAATTTTCAAATCCATTCCATAGAGACTTTGCATACATTTCATTCATTTTAAAGCAATTAAATAATTTTCAACATGATGTTTTTTTTAAATACATTAAAGATAGGCTTTACCTTTTTCCATTTACAGCAATGAATGAAATATTTTGACATCWGTTAATAAATTGTTTAAAACATAGTCTGATTGTGAGCCCTTCAAGTTCAATCCAAATATTATGTTGTCCAGAGTAAGTGTGTCCTGTAGCTGGATCTTTGTAGAAAGCCAGTCCAGAAAATCCTCCCTGAAAGTTTTTGTGTAAATACATTGATAAAAAAAGATGATCCATCGTTTCGATGTTGGATTCACAAAAAATACAGTTGTTATGGTCAATATTAAATCTCATTCTCAGCATTTCATTGGATGGATAAACTTCATTCAAGATTTTAAAATGCACTTCTTTAACTTTTGGACTTACAGAAATTTTAAGATAATGGATTCTCCATTTTTTAACCTCAGTTTCGGTGAATTTCTGAATGATAGAGTGTCTTATCTGAGTGTTCCACTTATTGTGTCATTTTCACTTCGCACAGTCAAGATATTAACGAAGAGTGAGAAATCCCTTGGTAAATATTTTCCTCATAACCTTGTGTACGAGAGATATGGAAAAGGCTTTTTTCATCCTAAGCTAGTCCTCTGCATGTGTGTTGTCCAAACAAGCAAGATGTYTTAGATTTTCTCTGCAGGGCAGGACACAAGAAGAAAAACCTGTTTTTAGCTGTTGTGAAATGATCCTTATCTTTTGATTTAGCTTTTAAACCAAGTCAAACACATGTATGTAAAATCRATTTTTAATGTGGTTTGAGGCAATGTTTAAAATGATTTATTGCATGTTAACAGCTTGATTGTTCCAGTTTGTGAGTTCTATTTTTAGTAAATAAAGTGTAAACATGAACTCCTTGAGGAGGCTGCAAACCAGACAAACAGTAAACCTCGTGGTTAAATTAAAAATTAATCTCCCKAATGTTCTTCACATGTCTGAGTTCATGCTCCCACAGACGAGTCGCTCAGATTATACAACTTGATTTGGACGGAATGTGTTTTAGTTATTTTTAGGTTATAGTTATGCAATCTTCTGCATCGTGTCGTTTTAATAAAAGAGCCGCTGCAGGGGTGGCTCTGATTACTGCTGATGTTCCAGAAAAAAATAGATTTCCCACTGATCTGATCAGATCTTTGTCCCTTTTTTTAAGAAGGATCAAAAGTTTTATTCTTTTCATGTGTAAAACCAAATTGCAAATATGAACCCGAAAGCTTTATTTTAATACCGTGCAACAGACGTTCAATTATTACAATTATCTAATGAATTTACTTTATTGTGCACTTAGTTTAAGCTCTCTCTAAACTTGAATAATCTGGGAAAAGTGGACAAATATCTGCAGTATTTAGGAGAAATTGTGTAGATTTAGTAAAACTAGAGCTTCAGCAGAAAAAAGCAGAGCTGCGTGATTTCAATAATCCAAGTCAGGCGTTTCCTAAAACTGAGGTCACGATAACCCAGTGAAACACAACAGAGCGACAATGCTGCTAGTCACTGAACAAGACTTAATGCTTTTATTAAAAAATTCCACTGAAGGAAAGTTTCTGAAGTTCATCCAGGATATACTGATCCAAAGGCAGATGTTACCATTCTGCAGGTTTCAACAAAGAATGTAGACTGACACGAGGAGCTTCAGCAGAACACTTTCTTTGAACAAAAGCAAAAGACTGCTGTGGCAACATAAAATGACATGAGCTGAGGATAGGGGCACATGGAGACCTGTGCGTGGTGTAAAAACACACAACACTCCCCTGAAGCTGAAGTAAAACCTGTCAGAATAAATAGGCTGAGGCTAATGAAGAGCAGACTGCAGCTCAGGTCATACTGCAGGCAAACTTGACCCAATCAGATTTGTTTGCCCACATGTGACCCAAATCAGATTTAATTTACAACGTATCTCAAACCTCAGTAAGCAAAACGGGATGCAGAAGAAAGAAAACTAATGCACTTCCATTTTATGGAGCGAAGTTTGCATTTTCTTATGTGCAGTTGTTGTTTTTTTTTTTTGTTTTTTTTTTGGGTGTGTGTGCTGGAAATTTGTGTTTTCAGCTTTTTGTTTTTTGCTTCTCATAGCTATTGGTGGTGTGGTTAAAGAATGTTTGATAAAACCACTTTCGGGGCTGGAGACCATCGCTCCTCTCGTCTGCTCTGTAGAGGAAACTCCTGAGCCCATCAGCACCACGGTACGAGGCACCGTCCCCTCCTGGATCAASGGGAACTTCCTTCGTAATGGTCCGGGGAAGTTTGAGTTTGGAAACACACAGTGAGTCTGAAACACCCAGTATTCTTCCAACACGTCTCCAATCAGGAAGTCTCAGTGTCTGCGTCTCACGGCAGCTTCAACCACTGGTTTGAYGGGATGGCCTTGATGCACCAGTTCAAGATCCAGAGGGGAGAAGTGACCTACATGAGTCGGTTCCTGCAGAGCGACGCCTWCAGGAAGAACAGTGAGCAGGACCGCATCGTCATGTCGGAGTTTGGTACCCTGGCCATGCCCGACCCGTGTAAAAACTTCTTCCAGAGATTTCTCTCACGCTTTGAGAAGATGGGTGAGTAAACCAAGCCTGAAGGATCAGGTTGTAGTGAGATGATGTAAGAGACAAAAGTTAATAAAAAAACAGATTTTATGAAGCAATATTGTCAGTTTGGTTAGAAGAGGAGGCTCAATTTAAAAGTCTGTACCAAGTGGAGGAAAGGGATCAATTATTCAGAGTCGTTGCTGAACAAACCCTTCTGTATTCAGGCTGGGAGACGATCACTCTTTGTGCCATGGTTACATAAAATTAACACATGGTAGAAAACAGGCGAGGGGAACAAATGTTGCACATACCTACACAACTTTACAAACAAACAACAAGCAATAAAATAAAATGTAAGCTGTTTAAAAAGCTTTTTTATGCTACAGAAATTACGGACAATGGAAATGTGAATTTTGTGAAATACAAAGGAGACTACTATGTCAGCACAGAGACTAACTTCATGCACAAAGTGGACCCAGACAACCTGGAGACACTGGAAAAGGTCAAACCTTTAAATTAATTATTATAAATATTGCAACATAAAGTGCATGTTCTGTTGTTTTTTTCCCACTGATATCAGGTACAGTATTACTTTTCCCATTTGGCAAAGGATTGCTGGAATGCTGTTTTTAACTGAATGAAATCATGGATCTCTGGTTTGAATATCCTGTCTAACTAATGTATAACAAATCAATTTTCTGCCTTGTTCCTGTCTGTTTTTCAGGTTGACTGGAGCAAGTTTGTTGCTGTAAACGGAGCCACTGCCCATCCACACTATGACCCAGATGGCACCACTTACAATATGGGCAACTCCTATGGGAGAAACGGTTTGACCACTTCTTAGTTAAAAAAAAAAACACTTTGGATTTCTTTAAAGTTTAATGTTAATGCAAAATCCAAATTTTTGCCCTTAAATACATTTTGTTGTGGAGTTGGAGTCTCTAGGAGTGCAGAAAAGTTTGACTTAGTTTCTCCTGGTGATGCGTAGATATCTTTATATTCTGTTTAGGTCATATTTTCTATTATGTCACGGAATTGGTTGCAGCACTGCTAAACAAGGATTTCTGACTAACCAGTTTTGTGAATCCACTTTTTCCTCTGGCTCTGGGTCAGACTCTGGTTCCAACAACTCTGGATAGACAAGTTGACATTAATTAATTTGTAAATAAATGTTTCTGCACCGCAAAATAATAATTTCTCTATTAAACTACAAAAATGGCCAAACGGCTTGGGGCGGGGTGTTAAGTGCCTCATTTGCATTTAAAGAGACAGCACCAAAACTAGTTGCTCTCAGACGCACTTCAGATCAGGTGTGAAAGAGGGGTTTGTGGAGTTACAATAACCAGGAATTCAAACCAAAGTGCAGTGAAGCCCTGATTTATGTGGGGGTTATGTTTTTAGAGTACCAGTGAATTATGAAAAATAAATAATATTCTCACAGTACTGTATTTCCTTTTTCTGCTGTATCGTTGGGATTACCGCTAACTAGGAGAAGTAGTGGTAATCTATAAAAGACTGAATCCACAAACTGTAAAACATTGCAGTTCCACTTCRTATAGTCCACAAATTATTGATTTAAATGTGAAAAGGAAGGCTTTAAAAGCATGATATGTTTACTTTACCAAGTCTGTAAAAGCTCTTATGGTTTTATTCCGGTTATTTCAGGAGCTTTGTACAACATCATTAGAGTTTCCCCCGAGAAGACCGATGCCAACGACACCCTGCAAGGAACTGAAATCCTCTGTTCTATCACACCTGCAGACAAGTCCCATCCATCCTACTACCACAGCTTTGGTAAGCTACTTCAGCTGTTATCACTCATTCAATTACTGCTCGAAATAATCTCACCTGCCACCTTTTACATCCTCCTCATTTCTAGCCATGTCTGCAAATTATGTGGTCTTCATTGAGCAGCCGATTAAGTTGGACCTCCTAAAGATTATCACCTGCAAACTAAAAGGACGAGCTTTGAACCAGGGCATCTACTGGGACTCAAAGCAGGAAACCATCTTCCATCTTGTCAACAAGCATACGAGCGAGGTCAGAGGCGGACCCGGGGAGATCGTTTCGACTGAAACTTGATTCGTCCAGCTTCGCTTCATTAAGATTCATTGTGTGGTCTGTACTGTAGGTCAGCCCGGTTAAATACCACGCCAAAGCGCTCTCCACCTTTCATCAGATCAACGCATTTGAGGAGGATGGCTTCTTGATGATTGACATGTGCTGCTCAGACTCAGGCCAAGCCATCAACAACTACCTCATCCAGAATTTACGCAAGTCTGGGGAGGCACTAGATCAAGTCAGTACTATGATACTGTATCTAAATATATACTGTGTGTTGAGAAATCCTGMTTTTTTGCATTAATCACATATTTTGGCCCACAAATGACTTTAAGTCAAACAGATTGTTTTACCATCTGTTCATATGTTTTTTGTTGCACTTTTGAAAACTTCTTCCAGGTGTACAACACTTCAGACAGGCCTTTCCCTCGGCGTTTTGTTCTGCCCCTAAATGTGACTGATGAGACCCCAACAGGCCAGAACCTGAACACTCGACCCTGCAGCGAAGCATCCTGYGTCAAAATCAGCTCAAACAAGGTGAGTTCGAATCAATCAGCATGACCTGTTTTTACTAAAGCCTTTTCTCCTGAGCACCAGATAACACAGGGTCAAAATAAATTAGAGTAGAAATGACAGAAACACAGCTAAGCGTTTCTAAAATGCAGCTTTTGCTCCTTTAGTTCAATAAGTCACTCAGAATTATAACATAAAGCAATGATGAGAACAGCGTTAAAGTTGTGATTAAAAAAAAATTGAAGAAAAAATTCCTAATTTGATGTGTTTTGATCAAGAATAATCAAATTAGTTAAAGCTTATTTTGCTTCTTACAATTACTGATGTTGATAAGTGATGGCTAGCTTAATGACAACAGGGGACAGGTGTAAGTGGGTGGGGCAAGACTGACAGGAGGGAGGCATAGAAAACAAACTGAACATAAGGAAAATACAGAAAATTAACCTTAAAAGGGATAAATAAGCACCAAAACACACAGACGATGACAGAGAGTAAAGAAGCAATGTAATAAAATCTGTAATAAAAATAATAATAATAACAGTAATAATAAACAACCTGTATATAATAATAAAACCTGAGAAAATACAGCTTCCACTTTGCATGTTATTCAAACTCACATTTAACTCTTTGTATAATTTGTGTACAAACTTGTAATCATAGAGTACAAAGTATCACCATATTGTGTAGCTGTAGAAAAGCTGATTACCTAATTATACTCCTACATTTAACTTCTAAACATGTTTCTGTGAGTTTAAACTGATTTGGTTTAATATTTAATGTGACTCAAGCTTTTTAGGAAACCTAAAAAAATTCCGATCAGCCAAAGCTCCTAAATATGTTAATTTAAAATGATAAAAACTATTTTTTTAGGTAACAAGAGACACTCCTGGTCCTGTTTTTGTCCACAGGTGTTCTGCTGCTTCGAAGCCCTCCATGGAAGGGACCTCTATGAGCTGGGGGGTCTGGAGTTCCCTCAGATCAACTACAGCAGAGTTAACACTCAACCGTATCGTTATTTCTACGGCTGTGGTTTCAGACACCTGGTGGGAGACTCCCTGCTGAAGATGGACCTCAAGGATAAAACGCTTAAAGTGGGTCTCCACTCCAACTTATGAACTTTGGAGTCAAACTTAGCAAACACATCAGAACTCAGCCATTATGTCTCACTGCAGGTCTGGTACCAGAAGGGACTCTACCCGTCAGAGCCAGTGTTTGTGGCGTCGCCTGACGCTGCTGCGGAGGATGATGGTGTCATCCTGTCAGTGGTCCTAACCCCCTTACAGGTACCAGTCTGTCTGCTTATATTAGGACATCAGTCTGAGCCTCGATGAGAAGAAAAAATAACTAAAAGTGGTTAAAATCATTTGTAGCTGTTGTTTTAACCATGGTGCAGGATGACATTTGTATTTTAAAATTATGGGTTAGTTTTATTTGTTTTGAAGGCTTCATTTATGAATTTATAATGAGTTCATGCATGAAAGTAAAAAAAAAGTAAATCATGGAGTTCACTCAGGATGTTGTGGTTTTATCACTGCAGCTGATAAAAATGTGCAACAACTGCAGAGTTCTTCTACTTGCGACTGAATGCTTATTGTTCCATCTTTTATTGAAGACAAAGACAGATGCTCTTTTTTAATTAATTAATTCATTCATTTTTTGTTTTGTTTTTTGGAGGGGTTAGTGAAAGCTGTCAGTTTGTGTTGTGCAGAAAGACGTTTCTTAACTTTTCCTCTACAAACCCTGATGCATGTTTGTGTTTCTGTTCAGGATAAAGGAACCTTCCTTCTTGTTTTGGATGCCAAAACGTTTGAGGAGCTGGGAAGAGCCAACGTTCCCGTTAACATGCCTTATGGCTTCCATGGTGCCTTCACTGCCTCACAATAAGACCCTGTTCTTCTGATGTCCCATGGAGACCACATGGATCCATGTTAAACAAATAACCTCTGTGTCCTTCATGCTGCTRAATTTGTTTTGCATAAACAATTTATAAAAATTGTGTATTTAGTTTCAGTTCACTGCAACTGAATGAATGATGGATACTCTCCTATTTATCTTCAATTTGACTGTAAAACCTTTACTTTAAGGACAAATACTGTGAAGATGAGGCTGATTATGTCACCAAAATTACTCATTTAAAATGTATTGTTTTAGACTTTTTATTTTTCCCCTGCTTTACTTTTTTACTTTATATCAATATCAACACAGACTGTTTTAGCAATGTGTTTTGCAAAAATCTATCAGACATTTGTATTTTTAACTAATTAAAACATTGTGTTGTCTCATTTTAATTCCTGTAGTCTAACCTAGACTTTTTAGTTCATTTTATGCACCATTTTTGACCAACATTAGCTGTGAGAGGCAGGTCTGAAACACAACAGAGAATTAATGACAAGATTTATGACGTTTAATTACAAAACTGAGAAACACAGAAAAAGCACAAAATCCAATGTCGCAGATCAATCTAAGAACTTGTTCATGTTTTTAATTTTTGGTCTTCCAATCTTTCTTTAGGCAAACATTTTCACAAAAACTAATTTATTTTAATTCACACACATTTAGTTTTTTGAAAGCAATCCCTCCTAAACCAAGCTGTAGGACCGCTTTTCCTGGATGTCTGCTCAAGCTGCCAGCTGAATAAAGATAATTATCATCATCATAAGGAAAAAAATAAAGAAGTGAAACATGTCAGTGCAAGTCAAGAACGGGAAACACAGAATTAGACTTAAATGTTGAATGCAAGGAACAGAGCCATCCAGGACTCAGCTGGACCAAATCACATCCGTAGTTTTTGATAAAGAATCATGAGTCACAACACATTTTAAACAACTTCTCATGAACCCAGCCCCTCCTTCAGAGCAATATGTCATATCTGTTGGGCGGAACTACCTACTGTGAAACTGGGTTACAGACATTCTGCCAGATGAGAACAATACTTAAGTGTTGTATGGTGATAAGGCGTGTGTTACTAATTATATCAATTAAAAACACATTCTGTTTGAGCTGACCGTGACATAAGCCACTCAAAGCAGACTGCACGTCAATTAAATCACAGTTTAATTATGAAAACAGATATAGATTATCAAAACATGGCCCAGCATTTAGTTAAAATACAGTTTGTGTAGTGCATTAAAATCAGTGTTAAATGAAATAGAAAGTCCTTTGGGCAATTTTTTGTTTTGTTTTCAGATAAAAGTTTAAAACTGTTTATTAGAATCCTCATTGAAAATGTCACAATTTTATAAATCAGATTAAAGTTTGTTCTGATTGTTTTACAACTGATTGGACCCTCTGTGTTCCTGCATCAATCACAGGACTCTCATCTGAGCGGTGTTATGTCACAATATATTCAGTAATTAAACAACATTTATATTAGGGTTATAGTAAATGTTTACTCTGACACTGAGTGAAAATTCACAAATTAGATTTCTTTTAAATTGAACCAGTTACTTTATGAAGCTCATCAAGAGATGACAACAAAAAAAGCAACTCAAACCGTGTTGTTGTGAAAATATTAATAGTTCATAAGTTTGAATGTATTGTAGATTTTACAAAACAATCACACCCGCTGTCCCACTCAACTGATAGCTCATGAAATGTGACTGTGTGTGTTTCTGACATCCAGTTATATAAAAAATGTTTTGGTCAGTTATATAAAAAAATGTTTTGGTGCTTACATCAAACTGTCAGGTGTGAACAACCTGTGTATCAACCAGACATGTCCATATCCAATCACATCACCTCTAAACTGATAAAAGGTGACCAGTCTGAACCCAGCTTAAATCAGATGTAGATTTATGAATCAAATATGTAAATAAAATGAATAAAAGAGCTGCTGCCCCACACTGAGAGGAGGCAGTTGAGGTGGTTCAAGCATCGGGTAAAGAATACCTCTGGACACCCCTCTGGGGAGGTATATGTGTCCTCACTGACACTGCAGACCCAGGACACACTGGAGCAACTCTCCAGCTGGCCTGAAAATATCTTAAAATCCTCCCAGAAGAACTGAAAGACATGTCCTTGGTTCAAGCTGCAGCCACTCGACCAGACCCCAGAACAAGGGTGGGTGGATGGATGGACGGATGGATCTGTAGTCAGTACCTCACTACCTTCCTCAAGTAACATTTCAAAAAACTGAATTTGCCAAAGTTATTTATTTATAATTAAAAATAAATACTTTAAAAGTAGTAGACCACAATTAAAGGAGGTGTAAAGATTTCCTACAGTGTTGAGGGTGTTTTTTTTTTGTTTTTTGTTTTTTTTTTAAATTTTTTATTCATTTCATTAAAACATACAACAAATAATATACACT